TAATGAGAACATTTCCAGTCATGGCTACAATATAAAGCACCAGGAAAATAAAAAAGAGAATATATTGCCATTGTCCAAGGTTTCCAAACCCCAAAATGATAAATTCAGTAATATTCATCTGTGACCTTCGTTCTGTTTTCTCCATGATATGTTTCTCCAACATGCATATAGTGGGAACCACACAGATCTCATATTGCATCCTTGAAAAGGAAAATTGAAATTACCAATTCTGAATTTTGAGAACAGTTTCTCTAGCTCTGATTGCTAAAGTAACTGCACACAATTTAAAAAATTGAGAGAATCCCATTTATACTCATACTTAGCAGTTTTAACTTTTTAGATGTCAATATTGAGGTTCAATTTTAGCATTCTCCTTGGTAGTAAAAATCTACTTTTTCATCATCATTGTCCCAGTATGGTATGTAAGCTATACATACTGTTGTATTTTGAGGGGGAAAAGAAGAGAGACAGAAATAGTATAGAGAAATACAACATGTAATGAACTAACATGGCACAGCTTCTTCTTTCCGTGATCACTCTGACATCCTCATAGTACTTTTGTGGGCAGAATGAATTTACCCAGAAACATGTTGTATTGTGAACTTTATTTGTTGAGATGCAGAATACTATTTCACTGTAATGTAGAGTGCCAAATAGCTGAATATAAGGTAAGCATTCATTCTTTTCCACACTACATAAATGTTTTTGTAGTGGAATCATTTTTATTGATAGTCTCATTGTATTGAAGGTTTTCGGAAAGAGTCATGAAATAGGAAGATACTTACCTCTGTGATCAGAGAGCAAGGACATCAGAATGAATATGGCAGTTCCACATTCTGCACTTTATGGAGATACAGCTTTTTGTGATTATGAGATCAGGGCTATCATAGCAAGTTCTGTAGTTTAATATCTTTAAAAAAAAAAAAAATGAAATACCCCAGAGGGGAAATGTTTGTCTAGTGCCCATTGGTTCTGTTCAGTTTCATAGATGAATCTTCCCTAGATGACTCTGTTAATTGGCCTTTGAAATCATTCAATATTTTTGAAAGAAAAAAATTCTATTCCACTTTTCATCTTACCTGGGCTGAAAAGAGGGAGGGAGGGAGGGAGGGAGGGAGGGAGGAAGGAAGGAAGGAAGGAAGGAAGGAAGGAAGGAAGGAAGGAAGGAAGGAAGGAAGGAAGGAAGGAAGGAAGGATAACACAACATGTGTGGATTTCGTGGATGTGATTTCACTCTGAATCAGTAGGGCCACAGGATTTTTCTTTCTTTTTCTTTTTTTCTTTTTTGTTCTTTTTATCGCAGCATTTCCTTCTCTGCATCTAGCTAATTTGCTCTGTAACATACTGCATTAGGGAGCAAAAGATTAAATCCCTAGGATTCACTCTTATTTATTCCAGTAAATTTGCCCTTTCCCATGTGCAGAAGTCCAATATGAATCCTCATTAATTATTTTTAGTAAAAATGCACCAGCATAGAGAACTATCACTGGGTCTCCTGTTCTGGAGAGCTATCAACCAGTTTCCAACCTTCCCTTTGAGAAGATGTCCAGACAACAGTTGTAGAGGGTCTGGGAGGAAGCAGATTGTCTAGACCTATTTCAGCCAAGTTTCAGTGTGGGGTTTAGCATGGAGACAGCATGCTCACACTTGTCAGTGATCTTTGGCAGAGCTGGAATGGGGGAAGTGCATCCACCCTGGTGCTCCTTGATCACTTAGAAGGTTTTAGAGGTTTTATTTACCCATCTTCATTTACTTATTATTTTTCTACCTTGCCAGTCAACCATTTCATTTTCTAAATGAATCTCAAACTTTCACAATGCAGGTAGTCCTTGGGTTACAATGGCAATTGGGACCAGAATTTCTGTTGCTAAGTAACCCACTCATAAAGTGCAATGTCACTTGACTGCATCACTTAGCAGCAGCCATCTTGGTCATCCCAGTTCCTGTTATAACCTCAGGACCATGTGGGCCATTAAGCAGGAAGAGGCGGGAGTCCCAGGCAAGTAGGCCAGTGGGTGAGAACCATGGGTGGGTGGGTGCCACCGCTCCACTGAGAAGGAAAGGGCCCAGGGCCACAAGTCCTCTGCACTGCACTACATGCCACTCCTAGACAGGGCAATCCTCCTGCTGGGTAGCATGGTGGGATCATTTCCATGGTGCTTCCCCTGTGTATGGTCTGGTTACCTGGTGGTGATTCTGGTGGCTACTTGGTTGAGGGCGTCCCACATGGCAAGGCAGCCAGAGGGGGAATCAGTGGTGAGAACACTCTGCACAGCATAGCCAACAGAGCCCTCATGCCGTGGGGTTTGAGGCCAGCTGGACTCAGTGAGCCCAGTGGAGGGGAGGCAGGCGAAGAAGACAATGAAGTTCAGCTGGGACAATGAAGGTCAAACAATAACATCTGCCTATCCCAGATCCTTGGGAAGGACTCGATAGGTGGATAAAAATGCCACATCCAGTCTAAACATCTGGATGACTATGCGACTAACCATAATAGTAATAATAATATAGCAACAACATTCTTTTGAAATTAGAAAATCATTCTTTTTCTTATAAAACTGAATGCTGTAATTGATGTGAATATATTTGCAGGTGATCAGACTGGCTAAATCCCTTTAATTAGTTAGTGTTTCAAACAAAGACACAAGCAAACAAGTATTATTTGGAAGATTTGTTTATTTATTTATGGTCTCCCCCCCCCCCTTTCGTATCCCATAGTCCATTCAGGAATGCTATGCAGGTTCCATAATGCTCCCTTCTATTTTCCCTACAACAATCACCATGGGAGTATATTTACTCCCTTGGAAACTACTTCATCAACCATCCACTTACTTCTAAAAACCTTCTTCATGTGTACATAGAAGAGGAACAGGGCATGCAAATGACAGACTGTGTAATGCAAGCAATGTGATGCATATACTTATGTGTGACATTGGGATACAAATGTAAAAGGCTCAATTTTGCATTGTGACATCCTGATACAGGTTAAGCCATTTTTACATCACAACTGCTACCAAATCCCTACGATCATAATAGTGTTAACAATAGTAATTTGGTTTAGTCGGTGAATACACAGCTACATTAAATATTTTCATGATATAAACCTTGACAATCAATAAAACAATATAATAATCCATGCAAGACATTTCCTAATCAAATGTATTTATATATGGGTTTGTGTATTAAATAAAAAGATTTTATAATATTAGCAAAACCATAATAGGAAGCAATAGTGAATAATTAATATATATTAATTGACTGAACTGATTCCAGACAGTAGGAACTAGATGAGAGGTTGTTGTTTTAATATAAGCAAAAGTTAACTGATTTTGACTGTGTGATTGAACAAGTACAGAGAAATAATTAGTTGTTGCTGTACGCATGGGCCAGGTCAGCACCATCAAGTGAAATGGATAGCTCTCATTTGTAAGGCAATGCCTGAGGTAAAACAGTCAGATTAGGAACTTCTGGAATACAAAGCAATTACTCATAACCTATAAGCTTTACAATTTGGATCTCTAGTATCTGAAGCAATGTATCTTAGTATAGATTCCATCTTATATAGTTAGGTCATTCTCAGAGGCCCTGCCTTGAGTACTCTCCTGTACTCAAGAGTGCTATGAATGTGTACCTGGAAATGAACTTGGGTATTTTTGGCACCAAGGCAAGACCTTTTCCTACAAGTAGGTCTGCTGAAGTTTCAAAAATTTAATATTGCATTTTTAATGTATAAATCAATCAGGCGTTTAAAAAAAAAACTTGAAAAATCCTACCAAAGCTTTCCCACATGTAGTATTTTTATATGATAAATGGGGAAGTTGATTTGTATAGTACAAATCTACCAATATTATTTCTCAGGGCCTCTCTGACCTCCTTATTTCTTAGACTGTATATAAATGGGTTGGCCAGTGGGGGCAGAGCTATGTATAAAAAAGAGGAAAATTTGGGCATGTCTCTGTTTTCACTTCTTGGCAGCATGTAAGCAGTCATGAGAGATCCATAGAAAATAGAAACCACAACCAAATGAGAAGAGCAGGTGGAAAAGGCTTTCTGCCTTCCAGTGACAGAGGGGATTTTTAAGATGGCATCTATAATGCATACATAGGATAAGAGTGTTAAGAGAAAAGGAGGAAGTGTGAATATGGCAGCTACAACATAACTCATAATTTCCAATAACCAAGTGTCACTACAGGAAATCTTTAGAAGGGCAAAATAGTTGCAGAAATAATGGTTTATTTCATTAGAACTGCAAAATGTTAATCGCTGTAACATCAAAATGAGTAATATTGAAAATACAGCAAATCCATTGATCCAAGATGAAGCTGTTAGATGGATACAAGTCTGAGAATTCATGATTGTCAAATAATGCAGTGGTTTACAGATTGCTAGGTATCTGTCATAAGACATCACACACAGTAAACAGCATTCTGTAGCTACCAAAGAACTACAGAGGTACCATTGCATAAAACAGTTACTGAATGAAATGCTTCCATTCCCAGTTAGGAGAGCTGAAAGCATTCTTGGGAATATGTTAGAACTATAACAAATTTCTAGGAAGGAGAGGCTTCCTAGGAAGAAATACATGGGCATTTTAAGGTGCTGATCGAAGATGACTAGCATAAGGATGAGAATGTTTCCAATCACGGTTACAATGTAAATCACTAGAAAACTCAGAAAAAGAAATATTTGGAATTCATAGAATTCCTGAAATCCCAGCAGAATGAATTTGTCTATCCTCGTCTGATTCCCCAGCATCATGGTAACAAGGAAAACCAAGTCCTATTAAAAAGAAAAAGAAAAGAAAAGAAATGAGCAAACTAATGATATTACCATAGGGATATTCAACCTATTTTTTTCTTAGTGATAATTTGGCCAAGATACTGGAAGAAAATTGTCAGAGTGTTCAGTGTGTTATCTATCATCTGATTGACTCCCACTCATTTTTTGTTTTCTATATTTGGTGATGCAGGATCCATAATAATAAATAGAGATAGCTAGAAGATGTTATGTCTCAGTATTTCATTTGTTTATCCTCACAAAATATTTATGGCTAGATACAATGTATATTTTTCTCCTTTCCTGACAATTCTGTCTATATGGGTTGACCAGTTGTTCATGATATAAAGCATGGAATTAGTCAAGGACTCACTTTTTATCACACTATTTTGAAGGACAGAATGTGACTCTATAAATTAATCTACTGTGAATATGCCAATGTAGTTTAGTGTCCTTTCAGCTAGTACTGTTCTAAATCCAATTAAGTGTGGGAATATTTTGTATCTTAAAAGCATAATACAGTACATTATTACTTATGACCTTACTTATTCACAATTATATCATGGACAGTAATTATTCATGATCATAACAATATAAAACACTTGTATGGATGAAAACTAGAAATTCAGCTTTATATGGAAATGTCTTATGTTGCAGAATTTTACACATGCATGTGTATACATACACATACACACTTACACACACTCATAGCCATTCACAAATATAATATATTAAAAAGAAAATATTTCTTTCTGACTGTTAAAAAACCTTGAAAACTACTTGATTACAAAACAATAACTCAACAATATTTATAATCCATTGTTTGATAAAATAGATATTCAGCAGTACAGTTGGGGCATAGATTAAACAATTCCAATGCTCAGAATATGATAATCAATAAATCTTTGGTTTCTTTGCATTATATTTCTATAGTCTGAAAATTATAATTACTTAAACCAAAAAATATTATTTTATATTTGGTGAGCACCTGTAATGGTTTGTGGGAATGACCTTGGCAGACAGGAAGACAGCTGTAGACTTATACAACTGATGTGCAAAAAGTATCTCATGCAAGATTCTGTTAATATAACCTTACAATGAAGATAGAGCTAGTATTTATTCTTGTGCTTCTTGTCTGGACTACCTTGAAGGGCTAACATCAATCTTGCAAGTCTGAAAGCATTCCACCCCTCCTTTCTTTTACTCTCCAGAAAGCTAGGGAAGGCCCCTTCTGAAACACTTCCCATGCGCCCTCTGCATCTGTGGACTGAGATACCTTTTGCACGATGGTTGACTAGTCTGCAGCTCTTCCACTTGTCTCCCAAGGTCATTCCCACATACCATGACAGCACCTATGCAGCTATTTTTATTTAAATATTTATTTTACCAACATGTTATGCCAGATTAAATCTGATAATCTTCAAAATGACACTAATGACACTAGACTTGTGGTTCCTGCTGAAATAGTGAACATGACTATCTATACATCTGGAAACTTTGTTTGAAAGGCTAATTCTTTCATTATTCCTAAAGAACAAAGAAAACATTGTTTAAAAATAAAGTTTATATAGTAATAGTTACCTTTCTTTTGCTGCCTGGTATTCTCCATTGAAGTATTTCATGATAAAAAAAAAATCCAAAATCCTTCCTCTGATTTCATTCAAAATGTGTACTACAGGATGTTAATATATACAGTAAGGATATGGACCACCCTGGTGTTTTGTTTTGTTTTGTTTTTTTAATTTAAAAATTATTTCTTCTGGGCTTTTATTGATGCAGAAGAAAATATCACCAATTAGAAATATTTTTATCTATAAGTAGCTTTGATGATAAAATTCAGTCTAATAGTATAAAACCATCACCATCCAGGAATGTTGGTTTTTATTAAGGGGAAGATAAACAACTCTTCAGCCAACAGGGATGTATTTTGAAAACAAGCAAGTACGAATTGGATGGGGAGTAAAACATAGATTAATATGGAAAGTGGAATATTACATCATTATGCCTCTCTCAATGCCCTTATGGGAAAATCCTTCAAGTACTTTGAGAGTCCCAGCCCTCTGTATCCTGGAATCTCGGAAAAATCAGTTGGCATATCTGGCCAGAATGTCTGAGAAATTGCTCCAGCTTCCCTTGCTGCACACCTTATGAAGCCAGCAGTACATACATGTGATCAATAATCACACATTTTAATAGTAAATAAAATAGCAAAACATGTTGCTCTTGCAGCTTGTTCATTTTATTGGCTAATTAGTTATATCTGGGATTCCTAGCCTGCCAACTAATTGTCTTCCATTTTATTAAGAGAAAAACAAATAATAATAATAATAATAATAATAATAATAAT